AAATTTTGCAATGTATTAACCCCCAAATGTGGCTTCTAGAAGTGTATGGGGAAAATATGACAAATGCACCAATAAAATGTTCAGATAAGTTATTAAGCATTATTGGCAACAGCAGAAACAATCAACTTTAAATAGCATAACCATTAAGTATAATCATAAGACAAATGGTGTCCTGATTCATGCAACAAATATTTGTTGATTGAATTACATGGGAAATGTCCAACCAGTGGGAACTCGGCAGTGATCCAGGAGAGGTCTTGGGGTTCAGTTCAAGATGGCAGCCCAGGAAGACCAGAAGTCACGTCCTCCCACAGACACAGGGACACTAGAGCTACCTATGGAAGTTTCCTCTGAAAAAAAAAAAAAAAACAAACCCTAAAGGCTGGCTGAGCAAGTCCCACGGTTGGGGCAAACGAGAGGGAAACCACACAGAAGCAGGGGGGCCAGGCTGGGACACAGTCTCCCATGAACTGGCCCCTGGCCCAGCCATGTGCACCTGGAGGGAACTCCGGGCCAGCACTGGTCCTGAGGAGCCAAGGGGCCGCAGCCCACATGAGGATCTCCCAGGTTGAGGACCTGCACCTGAGACAGGAGCCCCCCCAAATAATCTAAAACATTTGAGGGGCACCTGGGTGGCTCAGGGGTTGGGCGTCTGCCTTTGGCTCAGGTCGTGGTCCCGGGGTCCTGGGATCCAGTCCCATATCAGGCTCCTGGTGGGAAGTCTCTGCCTCTCTACGTCTCTCATGAATAAGTAAATGTTTTAAAAATCTTAAAAAAAAAAAAAAATAAAACATTTGGAAACCAGTGGGGCTTATGTCAGGGCTCCAGCCAAACTGAGACGCTCTGCAAGGCTCGCGGGGGGCCTCACCAGCCAGGGCTCGGCAGGGCAGCCGCACCTCCCGTCCAGACTGAAGTGAAAAGGGCTCCTTTGCTCCCCCGAAAGCGGGGGCCCACAGGTGGGGCCCCCAAATGCGGACACCCCTGGAGCAGGCGGTGTGCCCTCCGCCGGGCTCTGGGCCCGGGCCGCTAGCCTTTCTACGTCGCGGCCGGCCGTGAGGATCCCCGAGGCAGTCGTGGGCCGGCCAGGCCCCCCCGGGCACTGCGCCCAGCGGACTCCCACACACCCCGTCTTCTGGGAGGAAAGAAGCCTATTTGCTTGTGCAGGGGCTTGGCCTGAGGGGCGTGCTCCAGCTTGCCAGGCCACCCAGAATGCAGCCTGTACCCAGGGTCCGACACCCTGATTTTTGTGGTTGCCACCAGGGGCACCTGTAGGGGGCATGGCTCTGGTGGCCAGCGGGGCTGATGCTCAGGAGCCCCCTGTATCTGTAACCAGTGGAGAAAGGTTTTCAATGGATACCACCCCCGGGGCACAGAGGCCACAGACCCAGGCGGGGGCTCCCTCTCTGTGAAAAGACCTATTAGCTTATCATCTGAGCTGCAGCCTGGGGAGCAGGCATCTCCATCTCCTTACAGAGGGAGCGTCCCCGAAATCCTGAAGTGTGCAGTTATAAAGAGAGACATAGCAAATATTCACGAAATCTGTGTTTAGTGTTAAAGGTGGTCAGGGCTCTATGCATACACTTTAAACACCTTGAGTTTTGAGAGCTTTTGGCAGCTTTGGACACAAGTCCTTTATCAGTTACATGCTTTGTAAATATTTTCTCCCAATCTGTGGTGTCAGGGGCTGTGAAGGGTTCGGTTACTTTAACCTGCTGGTAAACTAACAGGCAAGCCTTCCAAGGTTTTGAAGACACTAGCAGGGCACACAAGGCTCCCAGGTTAGACAGAAAGGACTTTGGAGCTTCACTTTTTTTTTTTTAAGACTTTATTTATTTATTCATGAGACACACACACACACACACACACAAACACACACACACACAAACACACACACACACACACAGGCAGAGACACAAGCAGCGGGAGAAGCAGGCTCCATGCAGGGAGCCGGATGTGGGACTCGATCCTGGGACTCCAGGATCATGCCCTGGGCTGAAGGCGGCGCTACACCGCTGGGCCACCTGGGCTGCCCTGGAGCTTCGCATTCGCAGCCCTCCTCCTGAAGACCTAGGAGGGATGTGAAGGACCCAGGCCCGTGCAGCACACATGGAGTTTGTGTCCCAGCTGGGAAACCCCAGTCATTTAAAGCGGCTGCTAGCAAGCCTGCCCAGCCTTTGCCCTGGAGAAGACACTGTCTTTATTACATTACCAGGAAACAGGCCCTTTGCCCTGGAGGGAGCCTTTCTATCTTCCAGATAGGCTTTTTGCTAAACATACCTAATACATTTGCTCAAAACACACAGAGGAAAATGAGAGATCCGAGGAAAATCTCCAATAGAACTCTTTTTCATTCTCTTGGCTGCATTTTTTGAAGAGCAGAAAATTTATTTTTGATGAAGTCTGATTTATTGGTTTGATTTTTTACAGATTATCCTTGGAGTCATGGCTAAGAGAACTCTGCCTTACTCAAGATCTCAAAGATTTTTACATTTTTTTCTAAAAGTTTTTTAAGTGGGGGGATGCCTGAGTGGCACAGTCAGTTAAGCATCTGACTCTTGATTTTGATTCAGGTCTCGGGGGTTCATGGGATGGAGGCCGAGGCAGGCTCTATGATCAGCGGGGGATCTCCCCCTCCCGCCACTCATACACACTCTCGCAAATAAATTTTTTAAAAATAAAAATAAGTTTTATAGTTTTTGGTTTACGATCCTCTGGAGTTCACTTTTGTATATGGTGTGATTAAACTTTTTTTTTTTTGGTAGACATATAGCTGCCTTTCCGAAAGATTCTCCATTGAATTGTCTTTGTACGTTTGTCAAAAAACCAGTGGTCCTTCCCTGCACTCTTCCTTTCCATTGATCTATTTGACAGATCCTGTTGATCTGTCTTGATTCTAATACCACACTATCTTGATTGGTGTAGCTTTATAAAAGCCTCGAATTTAGGTAGTGGTAGTCCTCTGACTTGGTCTTTTCCGAAGCTGTTTTAGCTAACCAAGATCCTTGGCATTCCCATATGAATTATAAAGCCAGCTCGTCATTGTCTATTAGAAGCTTGCTGGAATTCTGATTGGATTGTGTTGACTCGATAGATTAAATTGGGGAGAATTAATATCTTAGCAGTATTGGGTCTTCTGCTTCATGAACCCAGTGGATCTCTCCATTTATTTAAGTCTTTAATTCCCCCGTGCAATGTTTTATAGTTTTCAGAGTACAGATCTTTGACATCTTTTTACCAGACTTATCATTAATTATCTCATAGTATTTCTATTTTTTCTATCTCTTTTTGCTTTCTATCTCTTTTTGCCTCTTGGACACTGAGCCTTTTGCTTTTTCTTGTACACTGGTCTCTTTCAAAAATCCTGTTTGATAATCTTTCCCTTTAATTGCAATTATAGTGCATTTATTATTTAATTACTACACATTTGTGTTCAGACAACTTGGGCACAACTTCCCATGTTCCTGGGCACACATGGGATACTTTCCAATCAGAGGGCCAGCAATGAATTGATGAAAAACAGGTCTCTTCAGCATTGGGAAGCTACTATGTCTAAGGTCCCTCTGCCTAACTAATCTGACATCCAGCCCCTGTGAGTCAGCAGACCCCTCCTCCTAGTCCAGATGTTGCTTCAGGGAGAAGCAGAGCAGAATCAGACCAGAGTGCCCTTCTGCTCCTTTAACCTGATTTCAAATATATTATCCTCAACAATTTGGCAGCCATACCACTGATTATGGTGTTCCACAAAAAACAATCTGGGCTTCAGGCCAAATGATGAAGGGCAAATTTCTACACACGTTACTTTTAGGCCATAATGGCAAAAAAGTATTTGGTAGATTGAGTTGAATCAGTTAATGAAACCCGGTGATGTTTCTCAGACTGCATTCATGTCTTGAAATGTCCAAGTTCCAAAAGAGAAGGAAATGCTATTAAGGATCTATGGTGGGAAGAATATTATAACCAAGGTAAGTACACTAATTAGTTACAGGAAAGACTTCAGATTTTTAGAAGAAACCAAAAATAAGGCTGGAAACTGGGAACCCTATTTTTTTTTTGTACAAAAGTTCCAAATATTTCACGAGTATATATGCAACATAAAAATGTGCAAATTGGTTAGATTCATTTTCTTCCTAGCATAGTACTCTTACAGACTACTTCTGTCTGCCTTTTCTTTCATTTATTAACTAACATTATTTGGTACATTTCTACGTTACTGGATTAACCATCCACATCAGTTGGGATGATTTTGGTGTTTTTGTGGGCTAAGAGGTCAATATTTTTGTTTCAGAAGTAACTTTGTACTATGATTTGAAAGCACCATGCTGGGGATTCCCACAAGGATATTTCCTGTCTTGCATTTCTATCTTTTAATGAAATCATAACAAATTGGCTATTCCATATTCTAGGAAGCCCCCCCTCCCCCGCACAACAATTAAAAAAAATGTTTGCAAGGTATAAAAAAAAAGTTTTAAAGTTGACTGTAGTGGTGGTTACATGCCTGTATGTGTTCGCCAAAACTCAGTAATGTATACTGAAAATAATACATTTTTCTGTATGTAATTCAAAGCAGCAAAAAATGGGGGCAGGGAATCTTAAGTGTATTAAAATGAATTTTAATAAGCTATTTCAATCTAAGCAAGGAACTTGGGTGCCAAATATCAATGTGAAGTGACATAAAACAAACACATTATGAACATCCAAAAATCTGGACTTACAATGGAACTGTTGACAGCTTCTGAAATTAAACAGCACTCAATCACTAATTTTCTTTGAGGGTAAGATTTGTACCCTGCTGGGCTTATAATTCTGTTTTCTCTTTTTGGGCTGTTCATGTGTAAATATTGCTAATTTCATTTGACACCAAAACGGAAAACAACTTAATTTTGTTTCTAAGCTAGTCAATGACACAGAGACTACCCTCTAGATAAGCAGGAGGTGCATTATGAGCTTTCTGGCAATGATTTGAGGGAGAAAAAAATCAAGGCATTTCAAAAGTATTGTAACAAGGAAACAAATTTATTGATTTTAAAAGACAAGACACCATTTTGTTTTGAAAAACACAAGAAAGCTAGCCTGAGTTCAAGTCTGAAATATTCAGAAAAATCCTACTAATATCTTTAGTATGTTCCAGTCATTTGTTTAAACAACACACTAAAAGTTAATATATATTTTTATAATTATAAAAGTTCCCCAGTTATTGTACAGTACACAATACAAATCGCCCACAAACTATTATTTAGCTCCTGCCAATTTTGAGAGGACATGATATACTAAAAGATTTAGCATTTCTCACAAAAATCACATCAGGAAATACGTATTTACAAAATCAAATACATTATACAAAAAACCATCACATGTTATTCGGTAAAGATGTTTTTAAATAATTAAAAAGTTTATTCAACTGTAGTCCAAAAACTGGAAAAGAACATTACATTATCTCACACATACAATCTCTACAAAAGTTGCTTACCTCATTTACATAATATATTCAGTCGATTGTAAAATAAATGTTCAAATATCTCCTAGTGTTACTATGTTTCTGTGCTTGTGGGACTGAATAATGTAATCTGCCACTTACTAAGTGAAATTTAAATGATGGCACTTAAAAAAAAATACAGTATTTTAAAAAAACACAATGAAAGAAGTTTTACCTAGAAGGTACGAAAGCCCTGAGTGATAGTGGAATTACTGATTGGTAAGCACTACAATTAACCTAATTAAAAGTTTACCACCCCAGGCACAAATTTCCAAGTTTTCTCAAGGCACTCACTTAAAGTTTCTGTAACCAATGCATTGGTCACCACCATAGGTCCCAATTGATGATGGAGATGAGTAGAGAAAAAAATTTGCTTTGGTACAAAAGATGCTTTTTAAACGAATAAAATTCAATACCTCCTTTATTGGGTCATTTAAAATTGTGTTTAGCAGGTTAAAACAAGGCAATCATTCATTCAAAACTATTAATTCATTGAAGGAAAAATGTACTCGGTTATCAACAGTCAGTAGGGAGTTTTAATTTTTTCCTTCCTCCCCAGAATCAGAATTCTTCTAACAGAGATTTGTTGTCCTCATTATCGAGCTACATAACAATTCTTACCAAAAGATTTCATTACTCAGGGCTTCCAATCCCAACATCATAATTTATTTAAAAAACAAAGGAAGGGGGGGGGGAAATAAAGAATAAAATACCAGAACCAAATAAGAGACGAAACACATTTTTTGAAAATAAGACATATTACCAATTACTTCAAACAAAAGGAAAAAAAAAATCCTAGGCAGTCACTTTGTAAGTGGCTTTTACTATTTAAGTAAAATTGGTAAACTAAACTCAGGTCTACTGGCACATAAAATCACTAGCAGCAATGATCAGAGCATGCAAACTGAGAAGCATTTACAGTAAATCATCATGAAGAATTCAAAAGAAGAGAGTTAAATTAAAACCCTTTGAGTATTGCATGTTAACACATGAGTAATTTGCATGGTTTGACTTCCTACGCTGCCTAAAAAAGCAATGTTTACGGCAAACTTGCACTATGCTATGGATGTCCCTTCACCAGACATCGGAATAGGTTACGCTCTTGGGTGCGCCCGGCTAGAGCCGCGCAAGCACATCTGCAGACGACACTTCTCTCATGTTCCGTCACGCAGAGGACAAAGGGGGACGAGTGCACGCAGAGCGTCCCTTGAACAAAAGTCGGCAACTGTGTAAGCGGACTGGCATTTACACATATCAGAAGCAGTCGTCATGGCATCTCCTGACAGATGAGCTGAAAATCAAGTGCTTTGCTCTCCATTTTACCTACGTCTAATTGTTTTTTTTTTTTTTTTTTTGACAAAGTGTTAAAAGTTTTGGAGCATAGGTAAAATTATGCCCTGTATGAAATTCCCAAACAATATTTTATGAGAGATCTAACTCCAAATAGCTTACCTGCCCCCAAAGAGTTCAGCTTTTCTTTATCCACTAGAACTCATTTCTTCCTAAGGCTTCACTTACAATTGTACTTTCTAAAGCTAAATAAATGAGATCTTTTGTTTTGTTTTGGGGAAAAAAAAAAAAAAAGAAATGTAACCCTTTCTTTATCATACCTTTTAAAGGCAATCTAGGTACTTTCAATGTGCAGAGGTCAGTTATGACATAGGTCTAAAGGCCCTATGTATCTGTCCTCCTTTTCTAGAGTCATGATGTGATGCTAGAAAAGTCGATTTTTTTTTTCTGTAAACAGTACACTTACTTAGATGGCAGTGAATATTTGGGAATAAATATATCAAGCCCTCTTGAAGAAGAAAATTAAGAGTTGTATATAAAATGCAAGTGTTCAGCATGGAAACACTTTCTCTTCCTACCCCCCCCTTAAAAAAACAGCAATAATTAGACATTTGGATATAGAGTATATTTTACCGGTCTAAGTCTAAATAAATGATCTGAAAGGCTTTTGTCCCCCATTGTATATCTTACAATGCTCAAAGGGTTAATACAAGGCATTACATCAAAGGGGTTTTCTAATACTAGAACCAAGCACTGAATTAATGCTTCTATTCCAGTTTTTTTTTTTAATCACCAGACTTGCAGAAATACTAGGATTCCATTCATTGATTTGTTCTAACCCTATACATGGAGGTTGAACTGATCTAGTGACAAGCCCAATTTTCATAGCACTGCATGACAACCCCCTCTCCCCCATGTTCCAGGGTGATTCACAGAAATTGTTAAGTTCTGATTTTCAATTTTTTGATAGTTGTGGTTTCCTCACCGAGAATTTGGGGGAGGGAAGGGTTCTAACAAAGGTCAATTTGTTGCCTATAACCACTGCCTCAAATTGTCCAGAAAGGTGACTTGCCAGAGTTCTTTTACTTTCTACTTGTGTCCACACAGGGAGGACTGACATCACAGTGACACACATTTTTTTTTTCTTTTCCACTAATGTTTCAAGCACAGCATCATTTTAGACATTTCAAATATATCATCTGAAGAATTTTTTTAAATTTGAAAATGCATCACGCTTAGCACTTCTGGAGAGTGCATTCACGCAAAAAGGTTCATGATTTCAGTAATGAAAGAGTCGTCAGTCCTGAACGTCTTTGATAGCATATTCCACAAGGACGTGTTCATTGTTTACTCGTCTACTACAAATCAAAGGCAGTCAATGTTGCACACTACTAATTTTAGGTATGCAGTGTTAAAACCATTTTCTAAAATTTACTTTTTTTTTTTTTAAAGTACACCATCTAAAGAGAGGTGCATGAACCGTGCTATACAGTACAAGAAAAAGCACAAAAAGGAAAGCAGATTTCTGAAAAGGCAGTAAGACTTAAATAGTCAGTCCAAACACAGTTTGGATGAGAATCCTGAAAAAGTGACCAGCCGCTTGATATCCAAAGAAAAATTTCAAAATTGGGCCCTGTGTTCCAAGGAGGTGGTTCCCCCATTTCACCCCATTGTTCACTGGCTTCATGGATGCAAATCTTCCGGGTATGATTCTCAATGTATGTATGTGAAGCTCAAACCATACCCAAGATACTCAATCCTATTGTACGGAAGGATCTTTTCCGAAACTTAACGATAGCCAACATGCCTTCCTTAAATCTTCCTCGCTGAAAGTGTAGCACTTGGTCTATGTAGAGATTTTTCATGACTAGTGGGTTTGATTACAATGTCAAGAAATATTAAGAAGTCCTTAACATGTGCACTTGTCACTTGTCAATAAATCTACTCTGAGAGTATTAGTGTCCATATTATTTAGAAAAGTCACAGTTTCAATGAATGAAACAAATGAAAAATCAAACTATTAAATAAACGAAATGAAGGGGATTGTTCCAATTTCCTCAAATGTACAAATTAGGAGGTTTGAATTTTCTCCTCTCTCTCACAATTCAAATTCGAGATTGGTTGAGACGTCTGTGTCTGATTATAGAGGTGTATTGTCTTACTGTGGACTACAGATCACCAGAAGTAGCCCAGCTTGTAGATGCTCTTTTGTCTGTTGGTCAACTATCTGCCCTAGTCACAGATGGATGCTCCTGTGTTCATAAAGGAGATCAGGAAGTTCTTAGTGAGTCAAGTGGAAATGTAGTAATATTTATTAACTCCTTAACTGTCCTAATGGAGAATATACCATGAACAACTGGAAGAAATGTTGAATCCTGGAGGGTCCCCAATCCCTACCTTTCATCCATCTAAATTTGCCTGTTATTATCAGATTCCTCTAATGATACACATATATCCAACATTAAACAATGATAATCAATACATTTAAAAATCATCAATAAACAAGGTGAAACCAGCAAGTACATTTGGTCTGATACAGATGAGTAGAGTTCTGGGGCTGGTGGACAAGGATAGGAAAGTGAAAGAGCTTTTTGGAAAGGAGAGTTGAGATGAAGAGTGTCTTTTTTGTTTTGTGAGTTTAATTTTACCTGCAAATGTTCCCTAATGCACACTGAAATAGATAGGTGGTCTTTGCAGGGAAGGTGTTCTGTTTGTTTGCCTTTTTGTGTGCGTGATGGTGCAAATTCATCGCCTTTTGGGTGAACAAAAAACAGGGATGGTCATGTAAATGATATTTGGATGAGGTGATGAGAGAATGCCAGTGAATACTTCCAAATAGGAGTGAGTTGAGTCATAGAAAATTTGAATCCATTTAAAAAATTACATCTAAAACATTTAAAGTTTACTTAAGAAACTCTGTTGATCTTAAGTTATGCGAACAGCCCAAGGCAATCAAGCAACAACAGTAGAAATATACTGCACAGTCACCCGATAAGCCATTCGTTTTTTTTTTGTTGTTGTTTTTTTGTTTTTTTTTTACAGATTGGCTCACCCTCTTCTTTCCAACCCCCAACCCCACCCCAGTAAAACTGTTAAGATAAACATCTTGAGTTCAATATAGGCCTCATTAATCATCTGTAAATCATTTTGTGCTTTCCCTTTTTTTGGCTTTACATATTTATGTATTAATTTTTGCTGATCAGCTTTTTAAAAACTACTTAAATGAATGGATGTGCCTGTTTTTTGTTGTTGTTGCTGTTAATAACTTGAGTGCTTAAAAGAACCTTGGCTTTTCATGCAAATTAAGATGGGGATGGGTACATCCTGTCTAGGACCTCCCCCGACTTTGAGCTGACTCCTGCCCATGGGCACTTGAGTGCACCGTGAACACACAGACAACCAGGACACAGACGGCAAAAAAACATTTAGACTGAAAAGATGCACTTCAATAAGTACCTGCTTATTTTGTTAACTTTCTTAAATAACTAGATAAGAATGGCCTAAAACATATGATTTTATGTGACAAGTTGGTAATTAAAACTAGTCTGCTATTCCACACCCTTAAGCAATGTGATCTGTAATCAAGTAATATTCAGCTCTAGGAATCAAAAAGTCCATTCGTGGTCACTCGGAGAGGGGAAATTGATTTCTGTCTTTTTGTTTTGCCCTAAATTTCCTTTGAAGAACATGTAACCTGTCCTTACTTCGGGAATCTGAAAGTGACAGGCACACCTTGTCAAATGGATTGAAGAGGAATTCACATGAACAAAATAAGCCTTACTAAACCGTTGCTTCAGTTCTGTTTTAAGGCACCATGTAATAGCCGAGGTACGATGATCCCTGATGTACATTCTTCAATGGCACTGGTCCATCCAGCCACCTATCCAAATCCTACAGAATTGGGGATAAGCAACAGTGTGGTGTGCCAGTTACACTGCCTTCAGGTTCTGTTTAAAATTTAAATCCACATACTTTAGAAACCAGGAAATATTTTTGAAGGAAATAACGATATGCAGGTTGCTACATTCCTTGCATTCTATAAATTTTCTTCTATAATAGCAGCATATTGAACTACTATTAGGAAAAAGACCTGGAATAAAAGAAAGTCATCCAAATGGAATGGTTTCCTGTATGTCCAGCTCAGCATAAGTAGCATGTACACTTAAAAAAAAAAAAAAACAAAACAAAAAAAGTCAAGTCATTTTTTTTTCAGCTTCAGTATCTAACTATAACAGCCCCACTCAACAGCAGAATGCATCTGTGCAGTGGTCCCAAATACAGAATCAGTAGTCTTTAAACAGAGGAATTGGTATGCAAATAACGGTTAAAATTCAATGTTTAACGGAAGCTTGCATTAATATGGTTTAATAATTATGTACACAAATTATGTGCATATTAGCATAATCTCTTGCAGTTCTGTCATTTACCCTGAACTGATAAATGCACAGCTCAATTTTTCCCCAGAGAAAAATAGATGACCTTCCCAACCCTCTAGCACTATAATAAAAATGCTCTGTATTCTCTCTCCGTACCAAAGTGTTATCAAAATCGCGTCTTGTGGTTCTGTCCAATGAAAAGCACCTTTCAAAAGCAAATTTGATGCATCTGCTGCCAAATGGGCATGCCTCCAGTGTAAATCAAAGAAATTCATTTCTTTTGATATTTCACAGAAGTGCATCTAATTAAAAACTTACACATGAAATCATACACCAAGACTAACAATCAACAATAAAATATTTTAAGCTACAAAGAATGTAAATTACTTTTTAATTATAAGAAAACAAAAACATTGGCATTAAATGTGGTAAAAATCCTTCTTGACACCTGAAACTAGAGAGAGAGAAAAAAAAAACTTATTATTGAGAGGCAAATGATTTTTTCTTTACGTTAAAAAAAAAAAGAAAAGAAAAAAAGAAAGACCTGGCAAAATACATACACCCATTCCATTTCACAACTCCAAAAAAGGTAATGTTCAGCACAGATAGAATTTGACAACAGTCGACCTTCAGGCTTATTAAATTTTCAGCTTAAGCCCAATCTATCAACAGGGGTAATGTTAGCTGGAAAAATACGCTTTAATAATCCTTACACCGCGGTGTACGTGTTTCCTGTGGCGCTGCACTGCCGGATGGTCTGGGTGCTCGTGACGATGTGCTCACTGTGGATGGGGTTCAGGAGGCTGGGCTGCACCCCGCCCTCCAGCACCGGCTGCATGCAGCCCACGGGAAACGCCTGGTTCAGCTCGGTCTTCTCTCTTTTGGCTTGGGGTTCCGAAGAGTCGTCCAGTTCTTCGTCCATCTCGCTTTCCACTTCGCTGCCTTCGTCTGCACAAATGACAACCCCGAGACCTCGTTACAGGAAGACCCCCCACCCCCACCCCGGATAAAGACCACCATCGGGGGCTTCGGGACACGTGGGCAGCTGCTCCTCCCGGGCCCAGGGCTTGCGGGTGTCCCTATCCCCTGGCACTTCGTTTGCAGCAAGGCCCTACTGGTGCCACCTGCGGTCCTCCCCAACGGGGCAAAAGTCATTGAGTGCTAGCCAGTTGGGGATGGAAACTTTTAAAAGTTCTTTTAAGAACACCTTTGGGACTTCCTGAAGTTTTTGTATGAAAGAGTTGGCCTAGGGGCGCCAGGGTGACTCAGTGGTTGAGCATCTGCCTTCCACTCAGGGTGTGATCCTGGTGTCTGGGATGAGTCCCGCATCCGGCTCCCCGCAGGGAGCCTGCTTCTCCCTCTTCCCATGTCTCTGCCTCCCTCTGTCTATTGTGAATAAATAAATAACATCTTAAAAAAAAAAAGTCAAGAGTTGGCATAATTTGAGTCACCCTAAAGTAGTCACTTTGGTAGGCTATGCTGCTTTGGGGGGAATGAGCTGAAAACTGCTGAGGGAGGGAGGGAGGGAGGGAGGGAGGGAGGGAGGGAGGGAGGGAGGGAGAGAGGGAGGAAAGTTTTCAGTGTCCTTTGAAATCTACACTAGATATAAATTTCACCTGTGCCCATGTGAATGCAGCGGACACATGCGTTCATTCGCAAAATAACTACAGCATGGATAAGGAAGGGTTGCTGTAGAGACTTTTTGGTGCCCTTCAATGTTATAGATGACAATATTATATGGGCCCTTAAAAATAGACTAAGGGGCACCTGGGTGGCTTAGCTAGTGAAGCATCTGCCTTCAGCTCAGGCCATGATCTCAGGGTCCTGGGATGGAGTCCCAAGTGGGGCTCCCCGCTCATCGGGGAGTCTGCTTCTCCCTCTCCCTCTGCCATTCCCCCCACTTGTGCTCTCTGGCTCTCTTTATCAAATAAATAAATAAAATATTTAATTTATACACACACACACACACACACACACACACACACACACTGGGGCTGGGGCTCCTGGGTGGCTCAGTGGTTGAGTGCCTGCCTTTGGCTCAGGGCATGATCCTGGGGTCCTGGGATTGAGTCCTGCATGGGCTCTCCATAGGGAGCCTACTTATCCCTCGGCCTATGTCTCTGCCTCCCTCTCTGTGTCTCTCATGAATAAATAAATACAAATCTTAAAATAACTAAGTGACTGAGGCAGTAGTATCAGATTAAAAATGCACACTGGATTTCCATTCTTAGCAACTCTGATACTGTTAATAGCCGGTATTCATTTGTGGAAATTAAATGTATTAAATAGTTGTTGTCACCTCCAAATTTTAATACATTTTATATTAACTTAGACATCATTATAATGGGCTAACATTTAGGTTTTTTCCAGCATGTACTGTTAAAATTCCAAAGTACAGTAGAGAGAGAAAACACTCACACCTAACCTTACTACAATGGAAGGTTCTCCTCAGGAGAGTGTAGAGAACACATCCCCATCAGTCACCTACAGCAAAAGTCCCTGCTAATATATGGGCCCCTTGAGTTTTCTTCTCTTATTATCATTATCTTATTATTGGGGCAAAGCTGGTTCCAGAGACACGAGATGAGGAAGAACAGGGCCTCCACATACAGTTGCACAGGTTGTGCAGCATGCAGTTGCTAGGAGAGGATCTCCTGAAAAGTGGTATGTGTAATTTAAAAGATCAAGATTAGATTTATTGACCAGAAAGGGCATAACGCATTACTGAGAGGTAAACACAGAAGTGCTCTTAGATGAGGCTCATCGACTTTACCCTGTTACCTTTTTGCCTCTGGAAAATGGACTTTATAATAACAGGGTTTGTCAGGAAGAGCATGTTCAAAGGGAATGTTGGCTACAGGGGAAAAGATATGTTTTGTAGACATTTGCTTCACGAAGACAGTATAATCGAAACACATTTGTATGACACATTTCAGGTCTGTTTTTGTATTTGCTTATATAGAAACAAGAAGAAAAAAACCTGGAAAAATCCTCTCTAAATTTTTCCTGGTGGTCATCCCCTAGAGTTGTGACTATGAAGATTTACTTGTTATAATTTCTAAATCTCTGTATTATTTGAAATTTTTATATAGAGCTAAAAAATTTTCATTATCAGGGAAAAAAAAAAGAAAATTCTCATTCTGTGGAAAAAGCCCACAAGAACACTTGAAGATTTCACATTCAAACCAAGCCTCAGGCCCTGACTATGCCAGTTTGGCCGCATCTTAAGAAGTACCGGATCTGGGGGTGAATGGGACCAGCAGGGCCACTCCAAGGTGAGGATAAATCACATTGCTTCACAGCTCCCTCTCCACCAACTTTTCTGTGCCTGATAAATAGTGTCAAAATAATAGAACAGGTGGCACTGAAAGGAAAAAAATCATTTCAAGCAGGCAGGCGAGCTAAGAGAGTGGAGAGAGTCCTTTCATCTACCATGCCGTGGGTAGAGATAGCAATGGGATAATAGGCTGAAGAAACCTAAGTACTCCAAAGCCACTTCTCTTCGGGTCCACTCGTGGGTGATGGGGCTCCAATGGAGAGGCTAGAAAGCAATCCACAAAAAAGCAAGCCCTCTCTCCACTTCTAAGGGCAAATTAATGCAATTCCATAGACATTTCATGCTCTCCTAAAGACTCGAAGACATCTCCTAGAAACATCCTCAAGGTTATAGAAATTTGGTATACAGAAACTAAAACGAGGTGCTACTGGCTGGACCTTACTAAAGACTTCGTTTTGGTCCAGCACTTTACAAAACAAGATGGGTGGCCATGCAGTGGTCCAAGTACAAGGCTCCTGCCACACCCTATGCACAGGGGTGAGACCCTCAAGCATGGGCCACCAGGCCTTGGTCAGCGCGTCAGCAGGGTTGCTTTATGTTGGCCATGGGTTTCAACTCTCACCTTCCTTACACACCAGTGTCATCGATTCACCTTCCAGACTGTCACTGGGTTAATTACAGAGAGTGTGTATCTTTCTGTTTGGTTCTTATGCCTATTCCTGAAACAGGAATTGCCACTTGCTCCTCTGGCCAGAGAGGAGTTTAACTTGGGAGTGAGACTGACTGGATTCCTTAAGGACTTTGGCCCCCACGTTCGCGTGTTCCACCACTCAGGAGGCCAGGATGCTGCCCCAAGTACCCTGGCGCAGGAGGCTCTGGACATCATCACTGCCTTTCACGTACGGATCCCTCAAGCCCTTACTCCTGCCTGCTCCCCAGCTAGCTCTGTTCTGTCCTAGGACTAATTGTGCAGTTTTCCCCAGTCTGGGCTTTCTGTCCTTCCCTCCAGAACTCAGTTCCTTAAAACCTCAGGATTATCTTTACTTTTTGTTTTTTTCTTTTGTTTTTTTTCCGTTTTTGAAGAAAGGTCTATACTTTCTGTATTATTTGTTTATTACATATTTTACATTTTACTTCTTCTTCTTTTTTTTTTTTAACCTGAGCTGGTATTTTCATTAGGATTGTTGTCATTTGCACATGCTTGATCCCAACCTTATTTCCCCAGAGCCCGTGTGGTCCCATAGATCCTGAGTTCTTTCAAGAGACATGCTGAGTGGCCACGTGGGCTTTAAAAATCTAAGAACTCCGCTTGTGATCCTTTGCATCTGTCCCCACTGCTGATCTTGCTTTTTACGGTAAGCTTCCTTGCTATCTCTTGACTTGTCTTTCCAGTGAAAAGTATGAATTACTGAGAAGGGGCAAGGTTGAGAAATCTTTCCTGCTGCCGAGTGGACCTTCAATAAAATTTTATCACTTCTCACCAGGACTCTGGCGACAGTCAGAAATAATTTCTTGCTACCTGTAATGACATGTAGGCAAGAGTCGCGCAGGGTTTGCCAACTATATTCAAATTCAATTCTTGCATTTAATATCCCTCCCATAAAGAAGGCACAGAAATGGAGCAATAAACAATGAGGACTCAGAGAGACAAAACTGTCATATCTCTGTAGGGTTCTATGCCATTTCTATAGAATAAGGGAATTGTAGGCACACACCACATTTTCCTCTACAGGGATTTCTCAAAGAAGCCCTTAAAAATGTACATTTTCACTTCTTACCTTTATCCAGATTTCCAGGAGACACAGCATTTAAATCACCAAACTGTAAAACAATAGTCATTTGGGCAACAGTTACTACCACGTAGAATAAAATCATATTCTAACAGTCCGTGGCAAAAACACAAGTAGGACTTTTTAAGACTGTAAACCAGTGACCTTTTTGATCTCTAACTACCTGGGGTCACTCAATTTTCCAATCAAACTTGTCGAATTTGAACAGTTTAAATTGTGTCACAATTTAGCTGTCTTGGCCTCCTTGCAGAGAATAACAATTTTCTCTGCCTTCTGCGCTCCACTTTACTTTATTTTTTTTTTTTTTTTTTTTTTTTTTTAAAAAACTTCTTTTTTTAGTGTTTTTTTTTTTTTTAATTTTTATTTATTTATGATAGTCACACAGAATGAGAGAGAGAGGCAGAGACACAGGCAGAGGGAGAAGCAGGCTCCATGCACCGGGAGCCCGACGTGGGATCCGATCCTGGGTCTCCAGGATCGCGCCCCGGGCCAAAGGCAGGCGCCAAACCGCTGCGCCACCCAGGGATCCCTCCACTTTACTTTATTATTATTATTATTTCAACTTAGCAGTGAAGAGATGGGGGCCTGGCTGGCTTAGAGGGAAGTTGGATGTGGTGGGATAAATGTGGAAATTTGATGAAGCAGGACATGTCAGCTCCACCACCCATGGGCGGCCTAAAAGACCCCCTTAGGGTGCAACGTGACAGGGACTTGGTCCAGCCGCCTGGCTGAATTCTCTGTTTAAAGCTTTCACTAGTAGAAATGAAAAATGTAGCGGGGAACCCCAAAGTTCAGAGTATTTATTTTTTTAGAAAATCTTTGAGATTTCTTGTCTCGTAATTTGATGTTGTTATTTACTAAGATACCAAGATCCTATTTTTAAAAAGAAAGGCATCTGCTTGTTACTGATGCAACAATAAGGAATTTAAAACAATAGGAAGCAATTAATAACCTTCAGCTTTGATTTTGTTTTCTATCTTGGTTCAAAAGCTTAATGATATTTTTATCATGAGGAAATAGGCTTTAAGAGTCTCAGAGTGAACAAAGACGGATACTCTTAAAAAAAGGGAATAGCAGAGGTAACCCAGTGGATCAGAGAAAGGTGATGTAAAAGCACCCACGGACACTCTTAAAAAAAAGGGAATAGCAGAGGTAACCAAGTGGATCAGAAAAAGGTGATGTAAAAGCACCCACTTTTTAAATGGAGAACATTACTTCTGTAAAGCTGAGGATTCAGAATAACTCATTATAGAAATTTGGGTTTCTCTAGAGGCTTAGAAAGGGTGAGGCAGAAATTCTACTTACATTCAGAAGTTTGCTTATAAAGAGTTCCATGATAGGAGTTTTTTTTTCATCTACAAGGTATGTCTACAAAGTAATAAAACTGATCTTATTTTGCAAACATGTAACACATTTTTTTTTTTTAACCTACACATGTATTGTTCTTCAAAATAGCTACCCCTTGGGAGCTTAGACATACATTCCAAGGTCCAAGGATCTGGAATTCCTCTTTAACAATTAATTTCAAGAGTTAGTTTATGTATCACTCCAGAAAGCCCATTTTGTTATTTTATATTCAGTTGTGACTGCAAATAACACTCCAAGTTATATCGATTGCCCTTGGTCCTGGAACAATGTCTGATGACTCATCAAAATGTAATTCACCTCTGCCACAATTCAGGATATTCAAAATAGTATGTCATTTTACCCCATTATTTCTCAGCAGTTCGGGGGCAGTTTAAGAAGAGGCATGCCACAACATTTTAAGCTATGGCAGCATGACCGAGATAAACATGTAGCCTTCCCAGGTGATTCAAGGGGACAAGGGCCTTTCGGGTCCATAACTCTTAGAATTTTTTTTTTTTAAACTGTCCCATTACTCTGTAGTTACCTTCCATTGGGCAACAAATATAAAATCATAAATACTGAACTGTTGTTCTGAAGTTCTTCCTGATTCCATGGGTCAGAACCTTGTGTTAATCTAAATAAAAAGCACAGCTGAAATTATGCAAAAATTCTTGAATTAAAGAATATAAACAACAACAAAAAATCAAGGGGACGCTTTATCCATTTTTGGTATTATTAAAATAGTTTATAAAGAAAGAATGCCTGAAGCTGAAGGATTCTAAGTGATTTCTAATTGATGCAACACAGTGAATTTATGTTTCTTTTAAATGAATACTATAATAACACTTAGGATCCAATTCTGGAAACAAGTTGGCAGTGATGAGCTTTAAGCATTTGCCTCTAAACCTAGAAAAAGCGAACATTCCATTTGTTTCTGAAAAATCTCAAAAGGTTGAAACTAAAGTATTACTGCCATTAGTAATCAATAATATCACACAAAGTGGCTAAAACCAAACTCAGGACATACTGGGAAATTTTCTTCAAAAGAAACTGTTTTTGGCTGCTATTCAACCGAAATATGGCAACTTCCTTAATACAAAGATTTTCCACTAAACGTTCCTGCTTCATTCCAAAGAATACATTTGATTATTCAGGATGCTAAAAACAAAAAAAAACGAAACAAACCCCTCCCTCTAAAACCCCCCCCCACAACAATCAACATTTCAATGGTAGCTATTATCATGAGTAAATAGATATTTGCATACTAAATGCTTTGTGCCTGTGGCCCCTGCTGGGCTGGACTCTGTACAAGCAATCCCAGAGACCCATCAATGCCTCTAGGTGTCTCTGGGATCAGTAACAAAGTTGCACATGTACAGCAAGTAGAGAGAGTAGATTTAAAATAAAACTCTTGTGAATAAGAGGTAAGGTTTTGATATCCAATAGAAAAGGTAAAGGTTTTTATATGTATTTATATGTATTTTATATGTATATGTATTTTACATGTGGAGGAAAAGAATACACATGGGATTCAGAAAAAAAAACCACTTTACTCCTTACAGATTGGCTAAAACGAGGAGCATCCGTTCAATTCACTTATTATTCAATCATCTATTGGGAGCCAACTATGCGCCAGCCATTGTGCCTGCCAATTCCAGTCAGTTAATCTGGAAATGTTCCCTCTTTCTGAAGGTGAGCATCACAAGTTGGTTATATGACAAAGGACAGGTAGTTTAACCAAATAATGAGGCAAGCTTTGAGAAGGGTGCAGAAGCACAGGCATATCAGATGGGAAGTCAGCTGCGGGGGTTTGGGAAGGGGCAGCAGGTCCAGGCAGCGGGAAGGAAGGGCACGAACCAGAAACCACAGAGAAGGAAGAGATCTGTGATTTGGATGAACAAAATGGCGGCTCTCGAGAAAGCAGGGAGATTACCGTCAAGTTTTAGCTCCAGCAAATGGAAAAACTAACTTCCCTCGCCACACGGGGGCCTGGAGAGGCCGTTGTTTGGTTGTTTGTTGAGGTGGCATCTCAGAGCTCATAAAGTACTTTCAAGGTTCCGTGTATGCTGGGCTTTCTTTCAAATATTATGACCTCAAGTATCACTTTCTCAATATTGTTTCCTCAGACAGGCTTTTCCTGACAGCCCTATCTAAGCATCTCCTATCCTGTCAGCTGTAATCATTTCCTTCAAAGCATCTGCCACCACATTCAACACTTAACTTTGTTTCCTCTTCTAACATCTGACTTGTTCCCAGGCCTGGGGCCAGGGCTGTGGGGGCCGGGGCCTTGTGTGTCCTCCCCATAAACATACCCCAGAATCTACTATGGCACCTGACAGATAGTAAGGGCTGATTAGCTACCAGACGCATGAATTTGCTTCCTCATTTCAGCCTCAGAAAAACTTAAGAATTTGGCAAGATAGTGAGCTTAGATGCAATCTCATGGCCACTAAAAACAAATGGATTTATCTAACATTTGCAGGAGATGTGGTGGTAGGGGATTTGAGATCAGATATTTTGCACTCTCGAGTTAGGAACTTAAGGTGGGGGAGGAGAAAGAGGGGGTGGAGAGGGAGAGAGGCAGACAGATAGGGAGGGGGGAGGAGAGAGAGAGAGAGAGTGTATGTTCCATACATGGAGGGAAGAATACAAATTAAGGGGTTTAAAATGTGCTCTGGGGTTAGAAAGCATATGGCCTTTTGATGTAGGTGGGAATCAAAATTCTATAGATAAATTGGGGATGTTCTGAAGTAGAAACAGAATGGAACATAGAGGAAGCATACCTGTTGTTTCAGAAAGAAAAACCTCATTATCCCAGAAAGCATTTCCTCTGGGTCCCGAGAGGGATCCTAATAATGTGCACCTTCCTGGACAACAGCAGACCAATAGATGTGGAGGGAGCCTGGGAGGCCACAACCTTGCAAGGAGAGTAGTAACGACTGGGAAGGGTTCAGTGGGCAACGGGGCAGGACAACAAGTACAGCTACAGGCAGGGCCCTTGAGGGGAGGCCCTGGTACAACCTTGACCCGTGGCCAAGCCGCTCAAGAGTGGTTCGTTACAAGACCCCCAGGTCTTGGGGCACCTGGTGGCTCAGTGGTTGAGCGTCTGCCGTCAGCTCAGGTTGTGATCCTGGGGTCCTGGATCCAGTCCCATGTCAGGCTCCCCGCAGGGAGCCTGCTTCTCCCTCTGCCTGTGTCTCTGCTTCTCTGTGTTTCTCATGAATAAATAAATAAAATAAAGGCCCCCAGGTCTACCACCTGCCACCATGAAAGGAGCTGGGTGCTGCTCAGGAGATGCAAACCCCAGGTGCCCCTAAGAGACCACTGTGCATTGGATCTAGGAGCAGTGAATTTTTCACAGGGAGGGAGGTAATGCTAGTACTCTGATACGTGGGAACTGAAACAGTGCAGAGGAAGTCAGGGTGCAGAGAGCAAGCAGGAGGGAATCCAAGGGGGCCCACAAAGCAGATACTGGGGGGCAGGAGTCAGGGACATAAGGAAAGAGAATTCAGGGTTGGGATGAAGACCTCACCCTTGGGGCCACTTTCCCTGCTGGATGAGTTTACCCCATCCTGGGGAGAGAGGGTTAGGGAGTCCTCATAACCACATCATCTTGGGCAGCCAGGTAAACAACCCCTCTAGAAGCAGCGCCCTACTAGAAAACGCATCAGTGTATCCAGATCTACAGGCAGACAGATACAATCACACGCACACGCGGACATAGGCACACACGTTCTCTCTGTTCATTGCGACATTAGCTGTCCAAGTCTATAATCACCACACACAAGAACGCCTAACTGGTTTACCTGGTGGCATCAAAACATGACAGTGTAGTCTAGAACAGAGGTTGCCAAACTTTTTTCAGTAAAGGGTCAGACAGTAAATACTGTAGTTTTATAGTCTTGTTACAATCACTCCAACCTGTCACTGTCGGGTAAAGATAGCTGGGGACAATAGGTACATGAATGGGTGTGACTGTGTGCCAATAAAATGTTACTTAGAATAATGGATGATGGGCTGAGTGTGGCTGGAAGAAGAACCTGCAAACCCTGGAAGATCTGCTCCACCTTACAAACAGTGGAAGGAAGGGAAGCTTTCGTCTTTAAGGAAGGCGTGGAGACTCCGGGCACAGGATGGCTACGGAAGCAGAAAGAGCTAGCACACCTGAGGCACGTGAGCATCAATGGGTCATAAGGAAAGAAACTAGGGTCAACTTCCAAGGATAGAAGCCAGTCGAAGGAATAGTTTTCATCTTTTCTGCAGAGGCTTGCCTGTATAGACAGAGATGGACCAAGGCTGGTATATAATTGTGGGAATTAGCAGGTGAACGGGGAAGATGTCTGGGGTGTGAGAAAAGATTGCAGGGAGGGTTGTAAGGAAAGAGACCAGGCCACGGGTGACATGTGCTATTCGTTCAGATGGGGTGAGTCCCCCTAATGGGAAGCTTGTTCCAATTGGATGGTGGGAGATGTGAGGAGAGAGTCCGACAGCCTAAGTTCTCCCCCTGGTAAAAGCAAATGCAGGAGTTCAGGGGAAGATGGTTTTCAGGGTGGTGTCACTATTGCAGAAGCGATAGATATATGTTGAGCAGAAGAGGAAGTCAGGATGAATAAATATACTGGGAGAAGACCCTACAACACGCAAGTCATAACTGATTTTATTCAAAGCAATATTAGCTTTCCTATTGTAATAGTTTCCTACGGCTGCTGTCACAAATTGGCACAAACCAATTTGTGCTCAAACAACACAGACTTACTATTTTTTAATGCTGGAGGTCAGAATTCCAAAGTGGGTCTTCCTGAGCTAAAATCAAGGTGTCGGCAGGGTTGTGTTTCTTTCTGCAGATTCTAAGGGAGAATTTCTTTCTTCCTTTTCCAGCTCCTTGAGGCTGCCCCCACCCATGCTACGGCCTGCTTCCATCCTCAGAGCCAGCAACATCAGGCTGAGTCTCTGGCTACATCACTCTGACTATTCTGCCTCTGTGTTCCACTTTTTAAAGACCCTTTGTGATCACCTCGGGG